GTCTGAGCAGTAGCCCACTTATCACTACCCACCCCGCTCGATGCAATGGGCAGCGCGGTTCTGATTATCCTGCGCGATGACCGATGCAGTATGAAATTATTTTTTTGTGTTCATGGGAACCAGTTGCTGAATTTTTCTTACCCCAACCTGGAAAGCACGGGACACCTACCTTATCTAATTGCTCTGTGCATTATTTCATGCCTCGTTTCCACGTCATCTGTTGATCTGTATGGAGTTTACTCGAGCCCGAAGCTGTTACATCGAATAAAGTGCGGTGCGGCGGACGACAGCTAAATGTACGCAATAAGCGCCTTAGCCAGCGAATACCACTAATCTGAATTCGATGAGCTAGCAAGTTTATCCCTGATGAACTCGCAAGCATGATGGCCCACCTCCACATTACTAACCTGCTCGCTCCATTCCACGTGTGCTAAACCAGATAACACCTATAGTCGAAAACCTCCGGTCGATGGATATATTCTACTCGCAAATTCAAGGTGTCACTACCATAAAGCGGGACTGAAAGAATGCTAGCACAATATATACGACCTTTCAGTGAAACTTCAGTGAAACCACGCGTCTACGCCACTTGTGTTTCAATCCTAAGTATGCTGCTCGAACCTAGGAACTGTGGGTGGTTATCTCCTTTGCTGCGCCACCTTCTCTGGTCACCCAAATAGGAAAAGCATTCTAGTATAAATAATTCCTGTCCATTTAGTTTCAGAGCGGGAGTAGACAACGCCCATTCTTGCAGCATGATCTTGCACTTAGAAGGTGCAAGGCACATACCGAATCTTGCAACTGCACCTGTTAGTCCATCAAGTGCGCTTTGCGCATCCTCCATACATTCGAACAGACAGATGATGTCATCGGCGTACTCTAAATTGCACAGTTTTTCTCCAGCTGCCCATTCGGTACTCTCTTAGTGCGTTCTCCAGAATTTCATCTTCGACAAAATTGAATGGGAACGACGAAATGGGGCACCCTTAACGAACGGTCCACTTAGTTCGTTGGAAACCCTCACTCGACCAGAAGTATGTGAGTACAGTGACCTCAGTAGGTTAACGTACTTCTGGGGCATTCCTTTTCGAAGAAGGAAACCCACCAGAACCTCGCGGTCAACTGCTTCAATGAACACTGCGATCGTAGGTCAAGGACTTGACATAACGTGAACATTTGATCAATACGTCCTCGTCCAGGCCCGCATCCGGCTTGCAGTTCACAGATGTTGGTCTCTTCTAAGGGAGTCTGATTTCGAAGTGTGACTGAGGCACTTTGTTGACAACTGGAATCAAACGTATCCCGCAGTAGTTTTCGCAATCGTTGCGAGATCCTTTCTTGAAAATGGGAATGATCATTTACTAGCCCCATGATGAAGGAATGCGCTCTTGAGTCCCAATGTTGTGCAGTAATTTAGTAATAGAGCTTACGAGGTTATCACCCCTCCATCCTGAAAAGAGTGGGAATGAGCCTATCATGCTGCCTTTCCTCGCTTCAGTGCCCGAATGCAAGACCGAACTTCTGTTTATACTGCATGAGCGCACGTCACCGCCCACGGAGCTTTAGTTGCAGATGAAGTAACCGACGGAAGTATTCCGCACAGCGATCAAGCCGTTGATCCCTATGGTGGATAGTTTATCCTTTTTTATCGCAGATCGTTTCATTAACTGGAGTTTGCGTATCAGCTAGAACAGTTTGACTATTTCCTGATGCAGTTGCTACTTTCATCTCACTAGCTATTGTTGCCCACCAGTTCTCACGGTCCTTCTTGAGGCTCTTTGTGAGCTGGCGTTGCAGATGTAACTTAACCCCGTTTTGCTCCTGGCAGGTCGCGATTCGTAGCTTGTTCTCCATCAGGGCTACTGACTCGTGAAACATCCAATGCCTCCAACGGACTTGAGGCTAACACGCACAACCAACATTCGCTGTGTAATGCACTGCTCGGCTAATTTGCTCATATGCATCGTAACGATGACGCGCGCTTAGCTCACGCACTAGCTCCGACTCATAGCGTGCACGAACTGCTGAAACAGATAGGCGATGATGAGCTAACCAAGTTTGCTGGTTTTGTTGTCGGCCAGTGAGTTGGAGAGTGAAGTGCATCAACACTAATGTGTGGTCAGACTCAACACAGATAGTCCAATAGGACCCGTAATTTTGCACTGAGCTACGCCAACAGTAGCTTACTGCTATGTGGTCGATTTGAGTTAGCGTACCAGTCAAACTGGAGCGCTACGTAGCCGTCCATCACGATCTGTGTCGGAATCCGGTACTGAATAGGACCAGACGATCATCTGCGTAGAACTGAAGAAGTCGATCATCTGTTCGTTGTGAGGACAGTATAACTACCGCCTAGGCCAGCACTTAGCTTTCCAACCTGCACGTTGAAGTCACCTGCAAGTACAATTATACAGGATCTTCAACTCATCGGACCGAGGTCGTGAGTTTATTTTAGAAATCGTCTTTTGTGTATGAGAACTGCAATTGGTCGGTGCATATGCCGATATGATGAACACACATCTTTTGGTGTTGCCCATCTTTTGGATGTCGATTGAACCCTGGAGACACATTGTTGGTAAACAACTGTTGGCAGGGGGTCCACTCGATAAGTGAGGACTCGGCCCTGTTACTGAGTACGATGCCTATCCCTCACTGACCTACTGAACTGGCTTGGTCGTCGCCTGATCTGTGAAGAACGTACCTCGAGGACAAATCTGGCGCGCTCAGGTGGCTTATAGTAGAAGGATCCTCAATTCGAATCTCCGTCACGCAGCAAATATCGATTCCTAAGGATTTCATTCTACGCGTCGGACAAGCCCGTTGACGTACCTGGGTCATAGTCCTCACGTAGAAGGCTAGCAGATTCAATTATGGACGAGCCTTCAGAATCTGCAATCCATTCCTTGGTGAAATACTTACAGTGAAATACCTACAGTGCTATTTGACAACGATGTTTGGCGAGCGACATCCAAGTTGCTTGAATGACTGTTACAGGTCGAAAGAAGGGGCTAAGGGAGGGTTGGGCTCGGAAAATAAAGGGTTAAATAAAGGTTGGGATATCTGTCCAGGAACCCACCCATCACTATCCACCCCGCTCGATGTAATTGACTGCGCGGTCCTGGTTATCGTGCGTGATGCAGTGTAGAATTATTTTTAGTTTGTATATGCATTGGGGTTTAATGGATGGGTATCGCTAGGGTTTCTAGTTATTAAGTATGAAAACTTTTAGGGTTCTCAACCAAAGTTTTTTTCTGACAAGAACCTAACCGCAAAGCACCGGGTGAAGCGAAGTAGGTTACCATTTATTTGAATCAGTCACTTCTCCAAAATCTTTCGCTTGCTGAAACGTAAAGTCTAGTCGAACCCCCAACCTGGAGGGCAAGGAAACGACTTCGACTGACCTCTACCCATTGACCCTCGAGGCATTGTTAGGTCTTCGGCTTGACCAAAGCCATCCTGTGCAGCTCGTTTGGTCAGAGAGGTGCAGTCTCGTCGTGATGGGATTTTTTGCTCTCTCAATCATACAATGAAAAAGTACGCGTCACCGAAAACAATCGTTCGCTTATTGACTGGTTTCTCTATGTTATGAGAGTATTCAATATTTATGCGGTCAAAATTCATCTAACTCAATAAAATAAAATCATCCAATCTTGATTAACTAGAGGTGTAAAATTGATGTTGGCGTGATTTAAGAAAAGAAAAACAGTAATCAAGGATGAATGTTGGCGTCCCCCTGAAATGGAAATGGCCGCTTGTCGACAAAAATGGGCGTTGGGCGTGGAATCCCTAAAAAGACATGCTCCAGTGGTGTGTCAAGGTTTCGCTGCGGAATGGCTGCTTTACGCTATACTAATTTTCACATTTGATTTATCTCACATCGGAATCGGACTACTGGCCTCCACTGATCACTATCTCTAACGTCCTTCACCATATTGCATAATGTTGTCAGTTGTTTCACCAGAGTGGTTCAACATGCTCGACGGATGNGAGAAGTACTGAAGTGTTGGTCTTCACGGGTCTAGGTCAGACAGCATTTGTGAACCGATTCACTGGAGACCTGAACTGTTTGCCCACTGTTGTGTAGCACCGCATATTCCCGACGGGTAACACAATGTATCCAGCTCAAGGTCGCACAAAACACGCACAGCAACAATGAACCGAGAACAATTCGGAAGGCGTGTGCGATAGCATGGTGAGAAAATACACGAATACTGGGTGATTGCGAACTATGTGGATATAATATCTCGTTAATCACGACAGTCTTCTAGCGTCGATTTACGTTCGCAGCCCCCACAAGCACTGGTAGCCCTCTTCCAGCTAGGGGAAATGAGAATACACGTGGTACACCGGAACATGTAAAAATGTGCTGTTTCAACCTATTTGTTCATACTACTGTTTATACTGTTTCAACTCCTGGGTATGAAGATCTTTTAAATTGGTGCAAAGTGAGGCAATTTGCAAAATTAGTCTATCAGTGGCCAGAAAAGGGGGAGATGTGGAAGTGCGGGAGGCGGGGGTAACGAAGAAATCCTTAAAGCTAAAAACATTTCATCAAACAGCCAACAACGTCCAAATTTTTACCGAATTATTTGCTTGTTGTGTTTAAGCCCAGTTATTCATTCTCTTCCCAACATTTATCGTTTTCAGCGACACCTTCCTATCTCCCTCAAATTCTGTTCGCCTTTTCTCATATACCTGTCCGATTGCAGGCTTGTGTGCCCAGGCTGTGGGTGTGAAAGTTCGGGACAGTTTCGATTTCCTGGGGAAATCTCGTTTCAGCAACGTATCCATATTTGATCTTCTGGGCCCTTACGCAAATAATACCCCACGTTGGTATCCGAAAGAAACCGATTACACAATGCCCACATTCAATCTGTCCAAAGTAAGTGTCAACAAAAGGCGCCTTGACTTCTCGTCCCCACACACGTTTGTGAGCGAGATTCAATGTGTCAAATTCTGCGTGTATGTTTGCGCGCCAATTGTTCCTCAGTCATCCTAGTTAATAGGCTTCGTAATGGTTCTGCAAATATGTACACCTGTGAATCATTTGACGCACAATGGCCTCCCTGTTCTTTTGTTATTATGTTTACCAGGATAAGGATAGCAACTTAGCAAAAGAGATGCCCCTCTTCTACAACTGCAAACAAGACCCGTAGCGGCAAATGACAACTAAGTGAAACAGTCTGCGATAAGATGGGACGAGCTATTCACAATAATGATCAACGACTCGATCACTTGGCGGAATACTTCATCGAACAGTTCAGCTGGCCTGTTGCTAACCAGGCTGCTTCATCTCCAACTGAAGCTCCGTGGGCAGTCATGCAATCCTCCAACGGAAGCAGAAGTTCGGTCTTGCATTCAATCTCTGAAGCGAGGCAAGGAAGCAGGACCAGATGAGCTCTCTCTCTTTCACTCTTTTCAACATGGGGAGTGATAACCCCATAAGCTGTATTACTACCTTACTGCGCAACATTTGGACGCAA